TGGTATCATTTCTACCATCCTCAGAATAATGGAAATCATTGCTCTCTTTGAAGAGATTGAATGGAAAAGTCACCATTCCACTGACTGTGCTTTTTATGTATGTTTCACATATTCCCAATGAGTATAATAAAAATGCTTATCTAGAATTGTCTGTCATCTTATCACAAGGGATTCATTCCAAATGCCTTCATTAAATAAACCTGGGCTGGGCTTATATGAAATTTTTGGAAGATTTTTCTCAAATATCTCTCAGATATTTAGATAAACCTAATGGAGTGTCTGTGTTTGGTTTTATATGAGGGGTAGTTACCATTAGCTGATAACCAAACAGGATATTTAATAGATACCCATGTTTTATGTCTCCTTCTTAATGAACCCAGCTTGAAACCTAATGAGCATCATTTATGTTTTATAATGTTTTGTAACCATGTGGGATAAAATATGTTTGAGAATTGATCAAAGTCAAATTCAGTGCCTATAATATCTTCCTTTTGAAAAATGTGATATTATATCTAACTCTAGTATCCTGAAGTTTTCTTTCTTCTGCATAATCTCTTCAAAATGACTGATTCTGCCATTATTGTAAAAAGTTTAGGGTAATACTTTCTCAAATCACTTGAAAGTGAGCCCTCGGTGCTCCCAGAGGATGATATCAGGTTTTTGCCCTGAGTTATAAGAAGGATGAGGTTGAGTTTAAGTGAGATGGGAACATTGTAGAAGGAACAGCTTTTCAGGGTGATGTGAGTGATTGAACATGTTACCTTTGAATGTCTAGTGGGTATCCAGGTGATGTTACATAGGCAGTTGGACAGGGAAGTCTGGTAATCAGCAGAAATATCTAGGCTGGGAGTAACCAGTATATACATGGCATAAAGGTATAAGACCTTATGAAATAAAGTAGTGAGTGGCTATATAGAGAAAAAAGTTTCAAGATGGAGAAGTGGAAGCACTCCAACATTTATAAATCAGAGTTGGGGGATGGGAGGTATGCAGAAATGTCTAGCACGAGACTTGAGAAGCAGGTGGAGAACCAGGTGAATGTGGTATCCTGGAAGCCAAATGGAAAGTGTTTCAAGAGTATATATATATTGTATATATATTATTGACTTTGTATGGAGAGGAAGAGAGAGGGATAGAGAGTTAGAAACATCGATGAGAGGGAAACATCCATCAGCTGCCTCCTGCACACCCCCTACTGGGGATGTGTCTACAACCAAGTACATGCCCTTGATCAGAATTGAACCTGGGACCCTTCAGTCCACAAGCCAACACTCTATCCACTGAGCCAAACCGGTTAGGGCTCAAAAGAGTTCTTTTTCTTACTCTCTGGCCTCTCAGACCGTGAACAGAGTCAATCTAATGGTTCTGTGATAACCCAAGAATTTTATTTTATCAAAATTTCTGGTTCTCCAAAGGAAGCTCTAAACTAGATTTCTGATGAGCTTCATGCGATTGTTATGCTGCTTTTTACAAGGGCCAGAATGACAGTAGAATTGGGGATCAGAAGACCTTGTTTCTCATACCAGCTTCACCTTTTACTATCACTGTGATCCTGGACAAATAATTTACTCCCTGTAAAATGGTCATAGCTATGCCTCCCTGCCCTATCTTCCAACTGGCATGGTCCAAGGAGCTAATAACTGGCACAGCAATCTGTAGGTTGCTGAGGCATGAACAAAGAAAGCCATCACTGCGATGGAGTGCAGATGAACCAGCTTCTTCTGCTCAAAAGGCCTGGGGAAGCCAAGCCTCTGAGTTGGTAGAAGCTGAGGACATCATGATACATGTTCTAGCTGATGTATTCTTTCAAAAGTTACTCCTTAGTAAGGTGTTTATTCTTTTTTTTCCACTTTATTTATTTAAAAAATTTTTAATTACAGTTGACATACAACATTATGCTAGTTTCTAGTGTACAACATAGTGATTAGACATTTTATAACTTACAAAGTGATCACCCCAGTAAGTCTGGTACCCATCTAACACTATACATAATTATTCACACACCCATGTTTTTTAAAGGGAAAAAAAGTCTTTACTTAAATGTTCTGTGATCACAAAAATCCTCTTTTAAGATAAGAAGTTGTTCAATGAAGTTATTTATGTTAGAATTCAGCATATTGCCACTACTTTGCTCTAAGTGAAATAAGTCAGTCAGAGAAAGACAAACACCATGTGATTTCACTTTATATGAAATCTAAAAAACAAGATATGTGAGCAAACCAAATAGATTCAAAGATACAGACAGACTGATGGTTGCTAAAGGGGAAGGGGTTTTAGGGGATGGGTACAAAACATGAAGGGATCAAAAAGTACAGATTGGTAGTCCTAGAACAGTCATGGAGATGTAAAGTACAGCATAGGAAAATATACACTAGTCAATAATATTGTGATAAGTATGTATGGGGCCAGGTGGGTAGTGGAAATATCAGGGAAATACTTTGTAAAGAATATAATTAATCACTATGCTGTACACCTGAAAGTAATCCTATCTAATAAAGAGTGAATATGCAAATAGACCATCACACCATCACAAATATGGCAGCGCCTAGACCCCTTAGTCCCACCAGAGTCCTTTCAGCTCCACCAGCGAGGGGGTGAGGAGTGGCAGGTATGTGGTACAGCCAGACCCACCCCCATCCTCCCAGCCTCCCATAGCTGGCCCAAGGCACAGGCAAGCCTTGTATGGCGGCTGCCCAGCCACCCAAGACCACCCAAGGCTCAGGTAATCAGGATTGACCAAGGCTTGTGCTGCCAGCAGTGGCAGCATCAGAGGTGTGATGGAGTGTCTCCTTCCCCTGATCTTGGCATCGCCTCCCACCCCTGAGGGCTCCTGGACTGCCAAGTTAGGGACCCCCCACCCCCCGCCTCCAGTGCATGAATTTTCATGCAATGGGCCTCTAGCACAAAATAATATCGAATATAAAAAAATGTTCTTCAAAATAATATCAGTTATTTTTTTATTAATTTAGGGAATCTATTTTGTTTGAAATATATAAATACTCTTTTAAAATATTAACAACTAGGATTTTATAAATAATGTGACTTTTATATTTCAAAGAAATTCTTTATTATGGTGTGCAATAAAATGTGATAAAGTTATATACTGCTTTCCCAAACTAAGACCCATATGTCTTTATATCTAACCACATTGTAGCTCAGTAACTGTTTTTAACTCCTTGCTTAGATTATAAGGAAAAAGAAAAAGAGACTAATTTGTAAAGCTTTTATGCATGGCTTTATTTTTCAAAATTTTTTCCATTTCTCAACAAAAATAAATAAACATTAACAACATCTTGTAAAGTATTTATATTCTCCTTCAACATCTTAAGGTACACAATTATCAAAGTTGATATTGAACACAAACAAATTGATACAATTCAGTACTCTGATAAAATTCATTATCAAATAAGTTACTTTAATCCGCAGACAATACAACTTAATGTTCCATAGCATCTTTAATATAAACTGTATACCAAAATGGCTCTTTAACCTTAAAAAGTGCAATTACAGAGAGATAGAGAGAGAGAGAGAGAGAGAGAGAGAGAGAGAGAGAGAGAGAGAAATACTTTTAACATCATACCAATTTGAATAACAGCTATGTTTTAGGTAACATTTTTCTCAAATTAAAATATTCCAGAACACTGTTTATATAAGCTGTTACTCCCTTTCTCCCATATAAATAATAGTAGAAAAAACTGAAAATATTAGGAAACAAAATAAATGAATTTTTTCCAAGTGTACAGAATGGATATTGCAGCAAAAATGACAAAGTGGATCAGACATTAGCTTTTACAAAGTGCAATATTGAAATCAATAGAAATTAGAAACTATAGTATTATGCATTTTGTTGCATGAAGATATTATATTATTTAACAGAAATTGATTTTAGCTTTCTTCCAAAGGACATAAAAATAAAAATCTGAGTTAGACTAGTCATGCTAGTGCACCATTTCTCCCATTGCTTTGACATTTGGCAGAAAGATGAGAGCAAAAAGAAAAATGTCTAGAATAGTAGTGTTCTATTGTACTATTTATGTTCAATATGTTATATATTCAGTATATCTCAAATTTGAGGTAAAACCTTTAGTACTAATCATAGTACTTATGTTCTTGATTATAGAATATGTTAAGTGAGTTATTGTTTCGCCTTGGTAGGAAGCCATGAATTATCATATATACATTGGATTTACATTTGTTCTCAGTATTTTAGCTATGACTAGCCCCTTCTAGAAATATAGTGAGAAATCTGTAAAATAAGGAAGTCAGACTAAATGTGAGCCAAAATATTTCCACTGCTTATAGAAAACATGAACTGATAGTAATAATTTTACTTTTATGTTTGCCTAGAATCCTCATTAAGGCAATTACTTTTTACTTATTTTTTATTCACAAAAAGCAATCTGGGTCCTGCCTTTTGATTATTTAACGTGTATTTCTAAGACTTAACTTTTGCAGGGGCTAGTTTTATTAGCATCCTTAAGTGAAGATTAAAAGCGCACCTAACTACTTACAATTAGTGATGCAGTATGAGTTGAGATGCTTCAGATGAACTAATATGTAAAATTAATGAATTGAAGCTAATTTCTTGATTGGTCAATAAATACTCTGAAGCAATCCAGATCACGTAAAATAGGCAGACTTTGTTTATAGGTGTCAATATGTATGTATAGGATTTAAAGTGTGTTTTAAGTTTTACATGTTTTTCATAAAGTAACAAATGACTATAATTTGATTAATTGAGCTCACATGTACATGTGTATTTAATATGTAAATATGCACACATACACAAATATATACATATATAATTTGTTTGTTCCCCTAACAGTAAAGAACCAGATTCAGGACTTTGTTTTTTGTTGTTGTTATTATTGGTTGTTTTTTCTATCTTTTAGGACTTTGGATAAGGATCATGTGAATGCACCAGGCTATATAATGGAGGGATATATATGGAGTCAAGTCCTAGCACCTGGCACCTCAAAGGTTAGCCATCATTTCTTTTATCTTTGTTGCCCTGGCACATGTCAGGACAAAAAGTGGAAAAGAATAGACCCTCCCTGTTCAAGCGCGTGATCCTGAGGTCTAGCATTCAGTGAGACAGTCTCCCATGTGGTCCCCAGGTAGTAACAGCTGTGGCTCCTTGTGCAGTTGTCCCAAGCATCCTTATTAATTCACTGAGACCATAGGCTCTGAGTATAGGAGAAACCATAGTCTCCTCTCAAAAATAAACAAAAGACTCTGGTTTCATCTCAGTCTTCATCATAAGGAATGAATGGTTAAGTCTAAATTCTAAAAACTTTCAAATAAATGCGTTCATTTGGAAAAACACATTATGACTTATTTTTTCTTGTTTTCCCCATGTTCTGCATCAGGATATAATTTTAAATATAGAATTTCAAATTCTATAAGAAGCTACTTACTTCATTTCTTAAGTTAAAAATTTCTTGGATGGAAAACAAGTGTTTCTGTCTTTAGGCAATATATATATATATATATAACTGTTGTCTTGTACTTTAAAATAATGATTAGTCCATCAAATTTTGGACTATAAATTAACCTTAGAATTCAGCAAAGCCCTTACAAAAATAAATACTCTTAAAAAGTAGCTCTAAGTGTGGGTTTTTTAAAAATTGTCTCAGAAGCAAGAGCTGCCTCACATAAATGCTGTACAAAAAAAAAAAACAAAAAAAAAGGAACTCTGTGAAGTTATAAAAATATCTACTATTTGCATAGAAGATGGTATAAGCTGGTTCATTTTCCTTAAGGACAATCTGAGATGGGTGACTAGTATCCATAGGAGCTGTGGGTTGGAATAAGGAATTGACCACCTCCCCTCCAAGCAGATAAACAGAGCTGAGAATGGGCCTGGAGGGAGCAGAGCTCTCCCCGTTTAGTTTGTTTCAAATGTGGAGTGTTTAGCACATGGTCTATATTTGCTTCTCCCCAATTCCCATTTTATCATTGTTCAATATATGACACAATGGAGTCAACTTATACATCAAACTATGGTATACACAAACCAATTATCATTGTTTTGAGGAGTAGAAAAATATACTTATCAAATTGATTTGACCATATATTTAGGCTTAGAGAAATCTGTCCTTTGCTGACACTTCCTGAGCAACTTATTTGTAGCAAGCAAATAAGCTTTGAAGCTTTCAATAAAGCACTTAGCTCAAGAAAAAAAAAATACCAATTTTCTTTCTATATTAGTTTGTGTACATTATACAAAAAAAGAAACAAAAAGTTTCCAAATATATTAAAAATTGTTGATTTAACACATGACCCAACATAAATATTATTAATAAAATAGGAATATTAACATCAACAGCTTGCTGTGCATCCCGGCCCATGAGCTTGGTGGCGCCACTCAGACTTGTGGCAACGCCAGATCTCCCGAGGTCACCCTTTCATACTCGTTCCTTGACTTTTTAATTTCTCGATTTCTGTACCTGGAATATTCAGGAATGAAACTGTTAGCATTGTAATTAACAGTAATGAGAACAAAGTATGTTAACAAAAGGAACATGTATATGGACTCTATATTTCTATTAGTCTGCCTTACATTTTAAGGTCCTAAGTTTCTGGGGTTATTAATTTATAAGGCTGCATTTTATCAAATACAAAACTCAACCTGATAAATACAAGTGACTAAGTATAACACTGGCATCATGGCTTACAGCTTACTTTCATATTTATTATCATATTCAATACTGAGTTCTGTAATTAATGTAGGATGAGGAATTCTCTCTGTATTGTAAAAGGAACTGATACTCCCAAGTATCACACTCCCTATGCATAAGGTCACATAGGTAATAAGTAACAGAGATAATCACAGAATCAAATCAAGATGTTCTGCTTCTACAACTTTTTCCTAAATAAAATCAGTGCAGAGTCCACCTTCTCCCTCTAAACTTTAGAGTCTAAAGAATACTTTGTCCATATTTTTACCCAGTTTAAAAGTCTGTAGTGTATAAAAGTGACTGATAAAAACAGAGTGTAAACACGCTGGCTTACCATCTCCAGAAGTAGTATATGGAGCCGGCGACTAAGAGAAGAAGGAAGAGAATAAGAATCACGGTCAGAGCCACATATTCTTTGCTCAAGGGTTGTTGGACCGTTAAAAAGAAGTGTTCACATCGGACACCAGCATAACCCACCTCACACCTAAAAAAATGCAAGAGAAAGATCAATAGATGTTCTCAAATCATGGCTATGGCTTAGATTTGTAAGCACTAATCTCATACTACGATGCAAGAAATCAACAAGGTTTGGCAAGAGATGAAAAGCAGGTCATCAAAGACTGACCTAGAACCAGGCCACAAGGCACAAAGAGCCCCTCGTTGCTCTCACGCTGAACTGTGGTATGGAAATGACAGTCCGGTGCAGTGGCCCGCTGACTGTCCGTCTGGAATAGGTTTTTGTAAGTTTTTCAGGATTGAAGTGCTTTTTGTCTACATCAGTGGAATCAATTCCCAAAACAGAGGTTGATAAATGTAAGTCCAATGGCAAGATTAGAAGTTGAGCTGCTATTGTGGCACATGTGAGAGGGAGGCAGCTGAAGCCCTCCCCAGTCTGTACCCCTGAAGTATCTGTACAATTTGAAAACCACCACTCTTTGCTCCATAATTAAAAAAAAGACCTTTCTTAATAGAGCTTTTCATATATATATATATATATATATATATATATATACACACACACACATATATATATATATATATATATATATATATATATATATGAAATTTTTTACATATAATTGATTTTTTACAAAGAGGAAGGGAGAGGGATAGAGAGCTAGAAACATCCATGAGAGAGGAACATTGACCAGCTGCCTCCTGCACACCCCCCACTGGGGATGTGCCCCCAACCAAGGTACATGCCCTTAACTAGAATCAAACCTGTGGCCTTTCAATCTGCAAGCCGACGCTCTATCCACTGAGCCAAACTGTTTTCAGCCAAAGTACCTGCCCTTGACCAGAATCCAACCTGGGACCTTTTAGTCCACGGGCTGACACTCTATCCACTGAGCCAAACCGGTTTTGACATTTTAATAGAGCTTTTAATAGGACATATAAACTGTATGCTTGTAGTACATATAAACTGCTCCCCATGGAAATATACTAGTAGAGTAACTTCAATAAATAAAAGATAGAGAAACCTAGGTTAAAAAAAAGAGTCTGTTGTTAGTTTAGGGATATTACCTGCAGTATTTTTCACTCATGTCCACCAGGAATATACACTGTCCATGCAAACAGTAGCCATTCATGTCAGAGCTGCACTTTGTTATTGACACTTGAGCCACACGTGGACTGTTTTCTGTCTTCACTGTGAAGAAAATGGAGAGTTGAGTATATTCTATTGCCTTCTTGGAAGCGTGAATCATCCTTTAATAATAGTAACCACTGATCTACTGTAACAAAGCAGGTCAGGTACCAATCAGAAGAGAAGAATTTTCAGGAGCACGGAGTCACTCTAGTGTCACACTCTCTTATCAATAGACACAACACACCGGTCCAAAAGAAAGTGGCCAGCAGACTAAACCAGACAAACCTGGGGATTTAATTCTCCAATGACAACATGTAAAGGTAGAAAAGGTAAGTTGAGGGACATACACACACACACACACACACACATTATTACCTTCTATAATTATTCACTGAACCAAAATTAGTCTAATTTTTTCAAATCTCAAAATAATTCTGAAATTCATTATTCCAAAAGCAATTTTAAGCTGAATACATTAATTTATTTAAGATAGTTTAATTCTAGCATGACTTTTAAGCTAGCAAGGCTTGCTCTGGTGTGCATTTCAGAATCATTGAGGTTACCATCGAAGAAAGCAATCAAAGCCTCCCAACATATCTAACAATGAGTCCGAGCATGAACTGGATAAACCCCTGGTTACAGATGCCTCCGTTACAGCCATAAAAACAGGAGCTTTGTTAGAAACAGTGTTGAAACTTATATATTCACTTCAGAATATTTTAAGTTACTAAAACGTGAAGAATGGTCATGACATAATTATTTTTAAGTTACATCTTGATCGCAATACTCTTGTTCAAATAATCAAAAAAGAAGAAGGCAGACCAAACCTCCAGAGCGCACAATGTTGAAGGAAGATAAGAGAGAAAGTGAACTTTTGGAAAATACCTTGGTCCCTCAGCATAGATAATATTGGGCTCAATAGCTCAGGATAACCCTTGATTCAATAATTCAACAACCTTTGACTACACATCAGAGACCTCTGGGGTCCTTGAGAGAAAAACTGTGCATCCCTAGGCCTAAGCAATGTGTTTGTCACATAGTAAGTAATCCAGGAATGTTTCTGAATGAGTGCTGTGATGACAAAGACAGAACATCACTTGTCCCTCTTACAAAAATAAAATGAAAAGGCACTGATGATCTACTGTGTATAGTATCAATGTTCCTATTTTGCCTGGGACTCAGCTTGTTACAATGGTTTCTCAGCAGAGCTCTGGGGAATGGCTATAGGGAATCTGATTTTCTTATTCCTTATCTCTTCAAGATCAAATTTCCCCATATAACTACAATTTTTGCTTTGTATGTTTTCCAGGTTGCTAGTTTATAAGGGAGTTAAGAAATTTGTTAACACAGTAGCTATTCTCTCTCCCTCCCCCACTCCCCACTTTCATATGTATTTATAGTCTTTGAGTTTGCATTTTCTGTTAACAATATGTAATCCTCTAAAGTGCTGTTGATAAAATTGGGCTTACCTAGAGCTGTGCAGTTGTCTTCAGATTCTCCTGGGATACACGAAGGAATCACAGTGGTTCCGAGAACTATATGTAGAAGATGAAAACCTGTTTATAGAAAAAAAATCAAATATGTAATTAATGCTTCAAGGGAAAAAAGGTTTGGTCAGATTTCCACAGCAACACAGCATTTGGAACTTAGTCCATCAAAACCTTAAAAAAAAATCATTCCTGGAAACAGACATATGATTGAAAATGAACCCCCAGGTCTTAGGTCCAAGGGTAAAAGCCTTGGCATTGTATTCATAGTTAGTTACAGATTTAACGTGCTTCAGATGTTTCACAGGAACCTTTTCAAAGACCTGATTTTGAAGTTTGATACCGTAAGAAGTTTAGAAATTCAAAAATTGTAGGATTTCTAATGTTTTATTCCATGTCATGTTTGAAGCAATGCTCCAAGAAAGAACCTATCACAAAAGAATGATTCAAATAAGAATCAGGTTCTACTTATGCTAACAACTATGCAGGACTCTCTACCTAAGATACATTCCTCGTTGACTTAAGTGCCTAAATTCTAAATTACTCTTGCATTGTAAAATGTAATCTAGGCAAAGTCAGAATATATCTTATTTAACTCGGAATGTACACACATACACTGAGCCATAGAACACAGTTTCTGTCAGCCCAGGAAGCATTTGAACAGAGTGTTTCATCTTGTATCTCCAATGAAAAGGTAAATATTGGAAAACAGGCACCAGAGTGACTCAAGTAGTTCCTTCATTATGTACAAAGCATAAGATGAATGCTTTTAATCGCATGGGCATTTATTTAAGAGAGTTTAGTCTTATCTGTTTAGTAGTCAGGTATTCGTACTTCAACTACCCTTTCCATGCTTATTGAGTAATTCTAATATAAATATAAATATAAATGGTGGTGTTAGTAGTAACATTGGCAGCAGTCAACATTTTTTGCACACACACTATATGCAGGCATGGTTCTATCATCCTTGTTTTTATTATCTCATTTAATCCACTTACTGACACTCAGAGGAAGATACTATTGTTGCTATTAGACGTATCTGAAAACTAAAACATAGAGTTTGAGCAACTTTCCTAAGGTACATAGTATTGTTGTGAATGGGGCACTTGCAGAATTTGGAAACAGACAACAATGCTAGGGTATAATAGACATCACATGGAGCAAACAAGTGAACATGTAATTGAAACAGATTATTTAATCCTAGAGGGGGGCAGCAAAAGGCAATCCTGGGAGAAAACTTGAGCAATGTGGTTCCCTCCCTTAGTTTTTGAGATAATTAAATAAAATGGTATTTTTTTCTGAAATAATGCCTAACATACCAGAGATCCCCATAGATGTTCCTTCAAAGTCAACATCTAGTCTCTAGTGTTAGCAAGATATACAGGCAGTGCCCTCTACTGGTCTGTTCCAAGAATATTTTCTTTTTCTCAAAGGAGTCATGTATCTATTAAGCAAATTGCATGGGGGGTTTTTTGTTTGTTTTTGGTTTTTGGTTTTTGTTTGTTTGTTTTAGCATCAGCATCATAGTTTGTAATTTAATTTTTCACACTTGACATTCTAACAGAGCTGTGAAAAAGTTATTAGCCCCAAATAACCTTAATGCAGTTAAATTAAATGTCTCGTCCAAGACCAATTATCCAGTGACCATAGAAGATAAGAATCAGAAATGCACCTTCTGACATCAAGCCTCATCATCTTTCAATGATCTGAAAATACTTTTTGAAGTTTAGAGCTAGATAACTCCCCCTTCTGTATTTCTACAACAATGTAAATCCTGCTTCAATTACTATTATAAGGGGGGAGGGGAAAAACATCTTTCTTTAGTGAGGAAAAATAATGCTAAAGTTTGGATTTCATTGTCAGTTGAACAGAAATGAAAAAAAATATTAATTTGTCCTCATGTAGAATGAGCTAGAATCTCATCCAAGTCCATTTGGTTCTACATCTCAATATAATTTTGCCGTGTACTTTAATGACTGAAGAATTTAATGTATACAATCTGCTCAACACAAAATGAAGTTCTAAATACGTGTTTTTACATCCTTGACCCTTCTATTCTTCCATATTTCTTCAACTGAGGAGTGCTTGGAAGTAATATTACTAATTCTCCCACCAGGAAAGGGCCAACCAGGTCCATTGTGCAAATGTACCCCTGAAGCTCATTTCTTTATCCTCTGCAGGAATCAGAAACTAGCCTCTCCTCCTCTCCTCTTCGGGGTTGCTTCCAGCTGCAACCTGCGACAATATTAGAATCCAGCTAATTGTTTGGAGGTGTTGCTTCTCCTTTTTTTTTCTTTTTTTCTTTTTAGGATTTTAGTAGTTCATTTTTTCACTGTTGGACACTTTGTTCCACTTGGTCAGGCCACAGGTGAAATATTTGTCTTTGTGAATTAAAGAATGTTCAGTGCAGGGCGTGCCTCCACAAAAACTGGGCTCTCCTAACCTGTGACACTCCCTTGGACATAGTCCATCGCTCAGGATGGTTTCTGTGAGACTCACGACATTAATCCAACATCCGGGTGTTTTACAGAAGAAACTAAATAATTTTAAATGCTACTTTCAAAAACAAGTGTGTAGATTCTGGTTCCATCGTGAATGTGTGTAACCAAAAAGGTAGCAAAACTAGTTCTCAATTATATGTTCATCTGCACAGCTCTTTGGCTTTTACACAGTGGTTCTGAAGCTTCCTTCCACCTCACCTCTGCCCCAGACCTTCGCAAACTGGAGTAAAGGTAAAGGAGTAAGTGGAGAAGATTAAAAAAAAATTTTTTTTTGAAAAACTCCACCATGAAAGATTCTGATATCTACTATCCTGTACCCTTAAGAATTACTACACATTATTTTAAAGCCATACAAAAAAGGAATAGATGCTAAAGTCATATCCATATATTTCTTTAATCTTACAGTTTTTCATGACTTTAGCAGCATAACTTTAGTTATACTAATAAAAAAGGTAATATGCTAATTAGACCGGATAGACCGGACATCCTACTGGATATCCTTCCGAACAAAGCCATAGGACGTTGAGGGCAGAGGACCAGGGGCATGGAGAGGCTGCGGTGGGGGAGAGGCCACAGCATGGGCCAGTCCAGCGCATCAGCCCCTGCTGCAGAGGCAGTGGGGGAGAGGGCTGCCCGTCCCAGTCCCAGTGCTGCCCCTTCAGCAGAGGCAGCCACAGAGGCAGCAGAATGGGCCCAGTCCCAGCACCACACCTCCGCAGAGGCTGGATGGGGTGTGACCTGCTGTGCTTCAACCTCCCCCAGCCCCTCCCCCAGTTGGCTTGGCCCCAGATTGCCCCCCACCATCAGTGGGCGGGGGGCGGGGCCAGCAGCCATGATGGCCAGCAGTGGCAGCAGCACAGCGAGGTGATAGAGTCCTTCCACAAAGGGAGGCCAGAGACAGCAGCAGTGGTGAGGTTATGGGGAAGCACTTTCCCTTGATTGGCCCTGTCACCTCTCACAGAGGGATGCCAGACTGCAGTGTAGGCCCTCTCCCCACAGGTAGGACATCCTCTGAGGGCTCCCAGACTGTGAGAAGGGGCAGGTCCCCCCCCCCGCCCCCACCACCACCACCAGGAGATTTTGGGCACTGGTCCTCTAAGTTTGAACATAATGATCTCTCTAAGATTCAACTACTTGGGTCTGGATCCTTGAACAGGAGTCTTGCTAAGAAAATAATTCACTATGATACTAAAGATTTTGGATAGTGTCCTTGTCTCAGAAAATAGGTCTAGTGACAAGTTCACATTGGCAACTAAAACATGAGCAATTCTGCACAAGGTGAAACGAGGTAAATGATTTTTGAAGTCAAAATTAGCAGGTGAAACTTCTGTTTCATCACTGCTATAAAAATCAAAATCCCTTTCGAGGCCAATTTTTCTGTCAAACTTCCAAATGGGTTTTAGGATCCTGAAGCTCACCTATTCATCCTTCTGCCTTCACCTTTCAGAGACTGTGTCTCAGTGAAATCTCAACTGTGCCAGCAGGAAGTGGTGCTGGTGACTCACAGGATACAAACCACCTCTACCCTGTGAGTCAGGGCCGGGCCTACACCCTTACACAATATTGGGGACGGCACGCGTGGGAGAGGCTGAGTGCCATTGCCTGAATGGGGGTAGCACTGAACGTTGTGGGCCCTGGGGCCTTAAGAAGTGCTTGTCCAATAGCAGGAGGGAGGCCAAATGTCAAACGTGTCTGATTACACCTGGTTTCTTTTGGCCTTGCTTTTTTTGCCCTCACCCAGGGGCTCCTCTAGAAGAAGGCAGGGACTCTGTGACTAGCCTCCCAGGTCAAGTCAGCAAAATCAGTGACAGTTCCAGGAATAAGTAGGCTCCCCTGAAGAAATAATCAAGCACATACAAATAACCCAAAATAAAATGAGATGGGTTACAGAATAAAAGGAATGAATTTTTTTCTCCCTAATTTTACCTTTTATGTTTAGAACCAAATACCAGACTTATAATAAATTGTATGATTTGTCCAGTCCAAACAGGTAGTAAAACCCGTTTTATTCACATTTTTGCTATGGACTGCTAGATTTCCACCTCTTCTATGATGGTCTATAATTTGAGCATACGTGTTATGCCTCGTACACTTTGAAAGAGTGAATATGCCTTCACCATTTCCACATGCTTTTGTTTTAAATTACATTCCACTATGAGACGAGGTCTTGCTGCACCTTGGTTAAAATAACTGTAAAATCTTTATTGCATTACATAATGTGAAACACTACTGTCAATACTTTCTAGTAACATCCTACTTTTTATATATTCATAAATAACCTTATCTTTGTTTTCAGCAACCACGCTCTTCTTACAGTTTTTCAATGTTAACTTTTTAACTAAACTTTATTAAAAACTGTTACAAATAAGTATTTCTTTTAATTTAGCCATAGGATCCTATTTGTCAAGGGAAAAGGAAAAACTTCACAGGCCCATGGCCAGCAAACTGGGGCTTGCGAGCCACATGAGGCTCTTTGGCCCCTTGAGTGTGGCTCTTCCACAAAATACCACGGCCTGGGCAAGTCTATTTTGAAGAAGTGGCATTAGAAGAAGTTTAAGTTTAAAAAATTTGGCTCTCAAAAGAAATTTCAATCATTGTACTATTGATATTTGGCTCTGTTGACTAATGAGTTTGCCGACCACTGTCATAGGCCATCGTTTTTTTCAATTCATAGGCATAATACCCTTCAATTTTGGTAGTAATTTCTAAATCATACTTCAAAATTCTCATAGTCATTACACAATGCTACACTTAAAGCTATTCTAATCAAGACTCAGTGTGTCAAAATATAAGGGATTAGTTTATTTCTCCCTAAAATAGACTTAAAGATGTATCTTGTTCATGATAGAAATCTTCTCAGAATGCAGGAGGATGCATATCACCACTTGTGTAAAGGGTACAATGTTATTATTAGTCTCAGTGTCTGGAATTTTGTGACTTAAGAGCTCCTAATATGGGGCATGCATCCCCTAAAAGCCAGATACATTTCTAGAATATTATTTCAAATATTTTATTATAATTTTTTTTCCTTCCAAGATAATGTTATATGGATCTTTATATATTTTTTTAACCCGTTTCCCTTTCATCTTGTTTCTCACACCTATCCCCATAGATCCAATTCAGAAATATAAATTACTACTACATTATTGTTTCAAGGAAACCATCTCCTAAAGGGGCCACAGTTTAGATTATGAGTATTTGCCTTCTTTTCATCGTGGTCATATTGTATGTGGCCTGAACCTTTGAATATGTAATGGCATCTTTAGAAAGAATGACTGTTATCACATGCATTCTTTCTAAAGGCCTAATGCCAGAAATGAATTTCCAAAGGAACTGAATTTTAATCAGCATAAAAAAAAGAGAGGAAAATATAAATACATAAAACTAACTTTAAAGTCTCAGAGCTAATTGCTTTTCATTCAATAAGACTGCATAATGCACCTAGCACATTTGAAGCTGCTAAAAAGTCGTACTTCATAAAAATATATTTTCGTTAAATTGGAGACTTCAACTTCAGTAAGAAGCACATATGCAACACCCAATAAATAAAAAAGGAGAGCAGTTTCGCCTGTATTTTTTTTTAATAACTACATGTCTCAAATTATATTTGTTTAATACATATCTTTTGAGGTTTTCTGACTGTATGGTATTGAACAAGATGCTGAAAAGAAAATTGGTGGGAAAGAGACAGCTCCTGTCCTAAGTAGAGTTAATGGGCTATACACCTGGGATGAAGAGGAAAGGAGAGAATTCACAGATGATGTCAAGTTCCTGGCTCCAAGGAGGGTGGAGCTATTAAAAGAGTAGGAAGCAGGCAGACCAGCCGGTTTGCGGAGATGCTTGGAAATGGTAGATATGAATGGAGAGCATAATGAGTGAAGAAATTTGAGTCTGTAGTTCATATGTCACCTATTTACACTTATTAGGCCCTTAGGAACACAAATCTTAAATAAAAGAGTGAGAAGTGAGTTGATGGAGTCTATCTGGAAGTCATATGAGGGAATATGATCTTTATGGGCATATGAGCCATTCAGATTTCTTAAGGGAAATAGTATGAAATGAAATATATTAGAACTTCAGGGAATAGGTAATCAAGAGTGATTAGAAATGGCCAAGGAAATTCAAGAAAAAGGGAAGTTCAGTGTTGTATGAACCAATAGGTAGAATTATAAAAGGAGGCAGGGATAGTCGGCAAAGCAATTATATAGGAAGAAAGTATAAGTGGTGCCATCATAAATATGATTATTCATCATTATTCAAGACAAATGGTGCTTAAATCAGCAATAAAAATGGCTAAGTTGACTTTTTTAACACTTGAATTGGTTTTACATTTGCATCCGGCTTACCATTAATATTAAGTTTATTTGTCTTGGTAACTAAAGCATTGATTATTCAAACTTCGAATTATGAGTGCCAATGGAAAACCCACCCATTAGGCTAGTGATTCTCAATCCAGAGTAATTTTGTCAACCAGGGACATTTGGCAATGCCTGGTGACATTTTTCTGTGTCACAACTGGGGGAGGGGGGTGTGTGCTACTGACATCTAGTAGGTAGAAGCCAGTGATTGCTGCTAAACACCCTGCAAATCATAGGAAGACTCACATAAAAGGATTATTCAGTCTACAATGCAAATACAGCCAAGGCCCCAAAACTCTGCATTGGACACATGAGGAATGGAGTCTAGTTCTAGCTCAGAAACTAATTTTATTTCCCTGCAGCTGAGATTTCTTTTCTCTGAAAATAGAGACCTAGGAATGGAGTAGGTTAAGAGGGAGATGGAATTTAGATTAAATTACTCTAAGGTCCCTTTCATTTCTAAAACAATACTTTTCTTTCTTTTACTGACTATTCATCATTCAGTCATATCACTGCCCAATTTCTCTCTCTCTCTCTCTCTCTCTCTCTCTCTCTCTCTCTCTCTCTCTCTCTCTCACACACACACACACACACACACACACACACACAGTGTGTGTAATTTAAAATATGTTTAAATTTTGTTAGGCATATCATCAGTGAGTACAGACATAAATGGGGAAATGTGGGAAGAATAATTACTAGGTTTTATCATAAACAACAAAATTGAATTTTAAAGAACTATTGATTAGTCTAAAAATATTTAACTTCTCAAGTATATTTCCAAAGAACATAGTGGTGAGAATTCTATAAGTATCAAGCTTATCATGCATCCAACTAACATTTACTGAGTGTTTAATATTTGTGTGTCACAGTGTGAATGAAAAAAGATGAGTGCAGCATCAGTAAGGGGAAACGGAGCTAGATGCACAGTATTACTTGAAAAGGGCAGGACCTCAGGAATGGGAGAGGTGTCAGGGGGCTGGGGGTCAGGCTGCACATTTTTTTATGTATTTTTATTTTATCTCATATTATTTATTTATGCCAGGGGAGAATGTGAACGAACACAGTCCCCCATTTCCATGAATTATGCAGTCGAGTTTCCCCCAGTTGGGAGAGTCTCAGGGGTCAGCACATCTGGAGTGTAATAGATACCCCTGGTCCTAAGAAAACCATCTTTGTGACCATGGAGTATTCCCTTAATATGTATATTTACCTGACAGGGGTTATCTGAGAAAGCTTGACACTTTTCTCTAGACTTAATGAGCAGAACCAAAAGTGAAGAGTGAGTTAGGGTCATCCCCAGCAGCGGGTCTGCACATTAAAAAATGAAGCCTTATGTGAGGGATGGCACTTCTTTTTAAATTTGTTTTCTTGTTTTAAAAAAAATGTGAATAGCCGAAACCGGTTTGGCTCAGTGGATAGAGCATCGGCCTGAGGACTGAAAGGTCCCAGGTTCGATTCTGGTCAAGGGCATGTACCTTGGTTGCGGGCACATACCCCAGTAGAGAGTGTGCAGAAGGCAGATAATCAATGTTTCTCTCTCATCGATGTTTCTAACTCTCTATCCCACACCCTTCCTCTCTGTAAAAATCAACAAAATATATATATTTTAAAATGTGAATAGTAATACCTTTCCCGGTTAAAATGGAGTTATAAAGTTTAAATGAAGTGTTTTATAAGAATGCACTTGATGATGATGATGATGATGATGATGACGATAGACTTAATTTTTAAAGTTTTTTAAAATTATTTTCTAATATTCAATTTGTTAATTCCATATACAATAATCTGATAATATTGTTATTATTATCTCCATTTTACAGATGAGAAAACTGAGGTCCACAAAGGAATAAATCTTTATGGAAGTATCAAATTAAAAAAAAAAAACTGGGATGTGTTATTATTATCTCCATTTTACAGATGAGAAAACTGAGGTCCACAAAGGAATAAATCTTTATGGAAGTATCAAATTAAAAAAAAAAACTGGGATGTGAACCCCACATTCTATGTACTATCTATGTCTCTTGATTCAAAACTATCAAGTTTGACATATATAAATGTGTATATTTTTATATACGAGAGTGAGACTTTTTCCCTGATCTGGAGGATTTGCAGGAGAATTTGCATTTAACTCACTTTCATGCCTCAAATTTAAAATTCAGGATTTTTATCCTAAAAAAAATAAGGGTTAACATTTTTTCTGAACAATTATCAAATCATCCTGTATATTATAGATGGTATCCTAGTTAATAAAGTCATTACCTTAACCTAGAATGTCACAGAACTTTTATTTGCCCTGTAAGTAGACACCTAGTCTTTCATAACACATTGCCAGAGGACACTGAGTCTGCCATGTTACTTCACTTGTTAAAGCTTCCAGAATTGCTATACCAAGGGGATGGCTGTCAGGGTGCTCCTCCCCAAGGATATCACAGCTCTGGGGAGTCTCACCATTGTCTTCCTTCCAAAGGAATGTTCCCAGCAGAAATTACAACCATATTAATTAGACAATTTACATAAGTCTATATTCAGGATGAAGTCTTACAGATGAGGAAACCACACTTTAATTTATAGACTCTTTGAAGAGGATTTCTTACATGACATTTGCATCTTTGGTGAGACAATTAACCAGGAAATGGGAGGTTCTTGGGCAAAAATGGACAGAAGACATTTACTTTTGCCATTTACTCTAATTTCTTTACTGAGCCTTAGTTTCTTCATTTGTCAAACTGGGCTATACATACCAACCTCATGCAGTTATTTTAAGAAGTGAGATGATATGTGTAAAGCACCTACCACACAACATAATTGGCTCATAGTAGGCATCTGGTAACTGTTAGTTCCCTTCCAAACTCCTGAATTTGGCCCCCAATGGGGGCACCCCAATGTTCATATGGCCAGAAGATGTGGAAGGCAGCTGGGTACCGGGGTCAAAACCCAGACAGGAGAGGCCTGTCGTCATGTTTTCTGCCTAGAGGTGTCAACTCAGGTGTGCTACCACTCAGGCAGCTCATGAACTCTCAGGTCAACAGAAAAGATCCGAGGATAGAGCCAATGTCTCACTGAGATCCATGCTTCCCGTATTTTCAAGAAAATAAGTGTTTATTCTGCTCAATTCTCTGTCATTGTGCAATGAGGTATGGAGAAATTGTCTTGAAGATATCATTCAGGAATATGCTCAAAAGTCCATTTGGGTATCAATGAAAATGTTTTATTTTATAGATCAAGAGTCCCTAAGTATCAAAAAGACATATAAATTCCACAAAATGGAAATAATAAATAGTTTGCTGGAATCTAGCATAAATGAAAAAAGTCATTTGGGAAAAGTATTTTTAGATTATATTTTGTTTGGTGGGGGAGAGGGGCAATTTCAGAGTTAACAGATGACCTTACCTTTTCCCCCCAGGTGCTTTAGAATAAAACTATTGGACTTGCATACCTGCACAGAGTGTGGAGAAATGGTATAGAACTTCAAACAGGAACTTTCCTAGTGGCAGAGAAACATCTGAATGCACTGGGAAAACAGAAACTGACCCAGCTCATTTGGAAATGGGCTTGGCAGCTGATGAAATAAGTGAACTATAATTAAGTAATGCAATAAAGGAGTTAAGCACTTTCATGACAACAAAAACACACACAACATAGGTGGGTAGTAACCAGGTTATTCATAGGCTCTTGCTGTCTCAAATTAGAATATTTAATAAGTATCCCAGAACAGACACGGGGCATTGTTCAGAGGCAACCTCACCTGTGCGGGGGGAAGCGCTAAGCCACTGTGACCTCTAGGTTACGTTCTAACTCTAGGAAGACTGTCACCTCTCCAATTCTCACAGAGATTATTTTCACAGAGATTTAAAAACAAAGACAGGCAGAGCCACATTATGCGCTAGAGAACCTTCTACAGAGTCCTCAGCACAGTTTTGGTAGAAACCAGACATCCAGTTTCCACTTACATTCCTGAACTTGAACAAGTTCCACTATGCGGAGTATGCATTTCATTAAGTCTCAGCCCCTGAGATAAGGCGTGTTGAAATAACAATTTAACTGTCACATCCTGCACAGGTAGGTACGTAGGTAGGTAGGGGAATTCACCTCATTGCACGCCCAGAAAGAATGCGGGACTGGCAAGTTTTATTTCCTTATTTAAATCTTCATATACAGCTCCAAATTCCTCTTGAACTTTAAGGAATGAAGGAGAGAAGCAATCTATATGTTTTTCAAACTAGGAAGCTTACACTAGGTATCTCCCCTATCCGACCCCCCTTCCCCCCATTAACTCATTTCAAATAGGATGATGACAGGCAACAAAGCACACAGCACACTCAGCGGTTACAGGCTGTGGGGTGCCATGCCTGCCAGTGGAAAGCGCTGACCAGCCAGGAGGTTTCAGGGACAAACTCGACAATGGCAGGTGAGAGGATGCATTGGCGGCCAGGAGCTCCAGGACCTGAGAGCGTCCCTCCGCTCCAGGTAAGTGACAACAGCGGTTTCATTCTGCGTGGTCTGAGGCTCCAGCCACCCCCCAACCCCCAACGCCCTGCGCCCCAGAAGGAAGCTCAAGCGGGCTTGTCTTAGAAAACGGAGGGCCAAAGGGCAGGAAAGCACTCCTTTCGAAAGCGCGCCTCCCCCCCGCCCTCCATGCCCCGGTCTCCTATCCTCCCGCCCCTCCCCACCCCTGGCCGCTGCAAGGAAGAGCACGGCTGAAAGTGTCAGCAGTGCGTCCAGGTCTTGGGGCTCCTACAACAGCCAAGTTAACAGCAAAACCCAAAGGCTTTTCGACCTTTCATGTTACCTAATACGGAGCTGTATAAAGTCATGCATGCCATATATACAATAATTATCAATGAAAAGCGTTTTTTTTATGCCGAGTCGCCTCCTTCCAGACCCCACCCCACTGCAGACGGACCCGCAAGTGAGGGACATCATTTCCAAGTGTGCATGCACCGTGGCCGGTGGGAAACTCCCCGAAGGTCCATGACAAGTGAAGGCGGCTGCACGGGTGCCCCCTGAGCACCAGGCGGCCAGGCTTACCCAGGCAGAGCAGCAGCGCGGGGCCGCGGGGGGCGAGGCGCGGCTCCATCCCGGTCCGGCGGCAGCGGAGACGGGCGCTGGGGGCTCAGCGGGCAGCGGGCGGCGGGAGGGGGCTCACCGGCCCGGCTGGTGGCGCAGCGGCGGCTGGAGCGCGCGGTTGGAGAGACAGACGGGAGAGCCACCAGTCTGTCCTGTTCCCGACACTGGTCTTTCCTGCAGTTGAGCTCACTTGCCCCGCGACGCGACTTTTATAAGAGCCCGGGGTGGAGCCTGGGGCCGGAGGACCTCCTAGCCGGGCGAGGTGCAAAGTGTCCGGAGTTTCCCAATGGGCCGCAGGGAGGAGTGGCCAGCGCCGGTCCGGATGTCCTCCTCCCTCTCCGAACACCTGACTGAAAAAAATGCCTTTCGTGTTAGCCGGGGACTACTCCCCAAACTTTTCCATCTTCCCCTCTGACTCCCCGGGGTGGAGGTGGGGAGCGTGGACCAGATGGGTCGGTTTGCTCGGTGGTGGGGTCACTTGTCTGAAGAGTGGGTGGCTTTGGTTGCTCTGGGTGACAGGCATAACTTGAACCCAAACCAGCGCTGGTGTTCCCAGTGGTGGAAAGGATGTGTGGTTTCTGCCCAAAATATCTGTGTGTGTGTGTGTGTGTGTGTGTGTCTTTCATATCCACATCTTCCTTCTCAGTACCTCTGTTTCCATGGTATTACATGCATTTATGGCTTCAGTGGAGCTAGTCAGTATGAAGAAAGTCCTAAATTACAGATTTCATTCCGTCCTATTTGCTATCCATCAGACTACTGCTGATGATTTAACTTCCCCCAATTTTTTTTCTTAATCCCAACACTTTCTCGTACAAAATCTTTCAGTGCCTGCCACAAACCTGCACCCAGTCTTTTCAACCTCAGCTCCCACTAGTTCGCCAAATCGCCTCAGCCCAGCCTGTCTGGAACTCACCACACCCTTGCCTATTCCCACTTTCCTGCCTGTGCTGATGGAGTCACAGTTCAGGGGAATGGCTGACTCTTACTGGAGCTACTCAAGTCCTGCTCATTTTCTCAGTTCTCCTCAAAGGCCTTGGTTTCCTGACCTTCTAGATATCTCTTTTCATTCTGACTTCTTACAACCATTATTTTTTATCTTCCACCTAAACTCATAGAATTCTAGATTTGATACTTCACACCTGTTGAAACTAATTGGTATTATTTAAATGCTATTGGTTGTAAGTCATATATTCAAATCTGCATGAATACATAAATGATTTTACTTTTTATTTTATTCTCCCCCACCTTTTTTATTCCTCACCCCAAATGGTGCCCTTTAGTGTCCAGAACTTTCATGTTGGAAACAAATGCTTAATCCTTCCATGGTTAAGATCATGAATTTAGTAAGTCGGCTGTTGAACCCTTAGACAAGTAATTTAACCTCAGTTTCCTCGTATGTAAAATAGAGATAATAATAATAAAAATCCAGATAATGCCCAGCACAAGGTTATCACTCATTAAAAATACCTATTATTATATGTAAACATTGATGTTAGCACGTGGTAGGATGGTGGTACTTGGTGGGTGCTCAATAGTCATGAATCAATGCATATTGGAAGAGAGGTAGAATGATGGCCTCTGAAATCTAGCTTCGGAATCTACCAAGAAATCAAGCAGAAAGTAACTTATCACTTAACTGCTCTTTTGTAAAGAAAAAAAATGAAACCAAGAAATATGATCCTGGGACTAGGTTGAAGTTTTACTGAGCATTGATCGAGATCACAGTTTGGTAAATTAGAATTAGAAATAGCTTTTGTTTTACAAAGTAGACTTGGAAAATAAATAGCTCAAGTGTTTGAAAAATTAAGGCAGAATTTGAAAGAATGAGGTGTCAACTGGGAGTGTTTCCTTATTCTGCACAATGACGAGGAGGTACTTGCAAGGAGTGACAAGAATGTATTAGTCCTAATTAATGGCTTGTTTCACCAAATACTGTGCTGTGCTTTGTGCTCAAAAGAAGGATGGGGTGGAACTCACTGAGGCGAATGGGGTCATTCCCCAACAGTCAGCTCTATGGTATTGATATGTGGGGAGGCATTTTTTTACTTTGTGGCTGATGTTTGCAAGCGTGAGATATCATCACTGTGGAGGAAAAAAAATGCTGTGCTTCTCCCAAAAGTTTCCACAGCAATGTACTCTTTGCATGGTGTGAAGAAATCTTTTCTTTATTGGTTCTGTGTTTACTCAATTTTGTAGCCATTAGTTTTTGAGAGTGACTCCATCATGACGCATCAGAGAAGATTGGCCACAGCCTCCGCATGTCTTTTTTTTTTTTTTTTTTTTTTTAATAATTGCGGACTATTTTCATTAATCGTTCATTTAAATATATACACATAGTATGAATTACAATTATAATTCCTTTTAAAGACACAAACATATTTGAAGATAGAACAACTTGGGAAGAAAATAATCAAGTCATATGGAATTTTCCTACTAGGAAATGAGTTAAACTAATACATTAGCTAGATGAGTAATTCCAAGTCTGAGAGGTATCAGGTTTTTTTGTTTTGTTTTGTTTTGTTTTTAAGGAGTTAGTAAATATATATAATGCTATTTTTAAAATTCATTGAGTCTCTATTATAGTTATTAAAATGTATTTATTTTAAATTGAATCTAAACTCAAGGTGGGTCATGGTCTATGTTTGTAATTGATACACAACAAACATGTAACCACTACCAGGCAGGTAAATGCTGCAAAAATAATATTTTTATATTAAAGTGGATCTTCTTATGAGAAGTGAGGGAATCCTGGACCACCAGCATCCACATTCAGGCCCTAAACTGGCACAGCCCTACAGACTGCAGCCAGATCAATTGCTGGGCCAGCACTAAAGAGCGACCATCCAACCACAGACAAGAACTTATAAAACCTCACAATTCTTCTTCCATTCCTCCCCATGCCTGGCCCCAATTTGGGGCTCTTTGGGACTGCGACTGATACTTGCTTATTTTAAAATCACTGCTTTGAAAATTCACAACAGAGCACACCTGGTGAATCAGCTTTTTTATACCACAAACATATAAAACCTTTCATTTAGTTAATCTTTACATGGAATGATATCGGATCCCTTTTTGTCAATGAAGGCATTGAAAAATAAGGAAAGTGTCCAAGATAAGACTGCTAAGTTTCATATTTAAAATATAGGACTTTAAACATAACTAACATAACTCTATTCTATTAAATGATCTATTAGATCACCTTGGTGAAAAATGGTTTTATTCTAACTTTAGTTAGGTATTAATTACATGGGGCCTTTTGAACAAGTTCAATTTGAATGAAGAATTTATATCTTTCATGATAATTTTTTAAATATATGTTTAAATTAAATAAAATCTTATGAAATACAAAAAAAGCACACAATTCCAAGAAAAATTCTGGGCTTCATATTTACCCATAACCTCTATAAGATAGCTAGAGGCCCGATGCATGAAGATTCATGCAAGAATGGGCCTTCCTTCCCCTGACTTCCTACACCGCCCTCATTCTGGCTAGAGCCTCCTTTCCCCCTTTCCAGGCTGTCCATAGTGCCCAGAGGCCCAGAGCCGCTGGAGTGGTGCAAAACGCCTATGTTGTTGCCATGGCGATGACACAAGTGTCCCTCCCAGCCCCTAGCCACTCATGCAAATTAACTGCCATCTTTGTTGGGTTAATTTGCATAGTCATTTCTAATTGGCTGGAGAGCATTGCAATGGTACGGTCAATTAACATGTTTCTCTTTTATTAATGTAGATAGCTGTTTTGCTTTTCACTTTGACCAAAATCAACAGACTACAATGCTATTTACACAAATCTCTATTTTAGTTTATATGCTATCAAATATTTATTCAATGACTTTGTAATGACATTGTTATATGGATACAGATAAGACAGGTGCATCCCTGAAGCCAAGGAACTTTTAATCCTGTAAGAAACAAAATAGAGAGGAGGAACATACACTGAATATAGTGTACTCTCTTTTATTTAAATGACCTCTATCATAGACTTTTTAAAAAGAGTCTTTCTCTCTGGAGTAATTGATTCTTAATTGAGAATTGGTTCAAGAATTCAAAAGGCAGCCGAAACCGGTTTAGC